ACTCCTTCGTCCGAGATTTCCAGACCGACTAATCTCGTCCCGGGGAGATCAAGTTCCAACTTCGATCATGTGACTTTTTTTTGTGGGGTTACACTGTCACAAGTCTATGTAGTATCACATTTTAATACATGTAATAATTAATACTTATATTTAATAAAATATATCACCAAATCAGTGTTCCCCCGTGGATAAGATGAATAATAAAATAATACCTTTACACAAGATTTAACCACCCTCTTACGCATTCCATAAAACGCCCGCGTAAAAGATTCTATCACATTAACCAATCAAATACAGCCAAAAAATATTTCAAGAATCTCACCAGAGATCGCTAAACCAGTTTTGCGGGCTATAAAAAGGCCATTTTCCCCCAAATTCGGGTGGTTCCTTTACGGGCTTCGCTTCTCTTACGGTGGTTCTTTTACTACGTGATTCTTTCACGGTTTCTGAACATCCCTTTAGCGAACACTGCCTTGCCATTCTATCTCTGCATCTCTATGGCTCTCTGGAACTCTCAACCAAGATACACAAAGTGAATGTGTGTGAGTTTATGTTTCATTCGTAGTTACAATTTTTATATAAAATCTGCACTATTTTTACCCTCTTTCGTAATTACTGAAAATATTATACATCTTATTTTCGGTCAAATACTTTTGGTGATATAAATATTCTAACACATATAAAATATTGGTGTTTATTTATTTATTTTTATATACATTTATATATATAAACATACTAAAAGGTTACATGACTAGATTGCATTGTGTTCTATTACTTATTGAAGCGCCACATCCTGGCTGGACAGAGTACTAGCACAATAATATCATAGTTAATACTCCAACTAATTATAAGCGTTCTCTAAAGTGTCTCTCCATTTATCGACTAGCCAATCTGATCTCTGCCACAGTGCGGGCAATCGGAGTGTAGGACACTAGTATAATCTATTGTGCAAAGAACCGAAATTGAGCTCATATCTACCCTAGATCACTATTTGGACGACTGAAAAGACGTAGGCCACTTGGAAATAGTTTGTTGCACAGGACAGTTATGTTGTTTAGAAGTTCTTTATTTGCTTTATAAATTATTAAATAATAAATATATTAAGGTAAAACACCATATACAAGGTTAAAGACTATATTACATAAATATACAAAAGGGTTTTACAAAAAACAGAGTTATAATAAACTTAGATTTCACCTTGAGTAGATTTGATATAGAATTGTACTACAAAAGTAGTTACACACGAGTTAATAATAACATAAACCGTATAATATTTGTTTATTGAACCATGATAATAAGTTCAGTAAAACATTGGACCCTAAATCTCATATAGAAATGGTGTGCTGTAAAGCGTTTAAAAAGCTCGGCTTTGTAATTAAATTAGCAGATAAATCAAAACTAAATTCTTCCTTAAGAATTTTATATTCTTCATTGATCCGGCCAATTATTGAATATGGTTCTATTGTTTGGAATCCTCATTCTTCATCGGATTGAAAGGGTGCAACGGAGAATTTTGAGGCATGTTAGATTTATTTTGGGTATCCAGCATGATCCTCATAATTATTCTCCAGTGGCAAGCAAACTTAATTTGACGTCGTTGCCAGATTGCAGAATTGCTGCAGGTATTAAATTTTTAAATGAATTGCTGGATGGTATTATTGATTCGATGTATCTTTTGCAGTTAATTAATTTTAAAGTTCCTCAGAGAAATTCTCGTTCCCATTTTCCTTTCTTCATCCAAATTAGTTCTACAAATTACTTACAAAGTGAGCCGATTAGAAGAATTTTAAATAGTGCAAATATGAACTGAAACGGCCCGCGTCGCTTCGTTATACACGATGCACCGCGTTTCATGCCACCTTTATCAGCCGTCGCCTTACTATGAGTATTTAACTGACCAATACCGCGTGTTATACTCTACGGTGCAAAGTCCAGCGAATGCCGCACGGCCGACGACAACCCGCCGCAAATGGTGCGGGAGTCTTCCGCCCGTTGTGAAAGCGACAACGTCGACCAACCGATCCGCACCCGCCCACCGTCGCCTAGAACGCTGCTAACCCTTTGCCGTCCAAGGATTACGCCGGACATCGCGTTGTCGATGCCAGCAAAAGTGCCGCGATATTATGCGAAGATTATTATTACTGTGTTTATCTTTTCAGTTTGTTTTATTTTTATTAAAATAATGTGTTGTCGCTCATTTAATAAACGGCTCACGGGTCTCTACCCTCAAAACCAGTGTCGACCACATTTTTGCGACGTAAGTCGTGTCAGAACCCACATATGTTATCTTGTTAACAATTTCCTTTTTCTTATTTTGTACTTTAGAACGGTAATTTTTTTTATATTGTCGCGGTCGCATTGCGACACCAGCTTTACCACTGGATGGAGATTGCGGCGCTTCCCCTTTACGTCTTGCAGGTCGCGCCATACGGAGTGGCCGATTGGCGGCGTGAACCGGTCCAGGCCAGCGGCCACTAACCTTGATGAATCATTATTAACATATTATCTTTAATCTAGCCCGAGAACAGTCGTGACATTGTTTTTTGGCATTCTATGTATATACATATAGTGTATAAAATATACGGTAATTAATATTTAGCCACCTGGTAATTATTTATTTAATATAAGATTAACCTTAGTTTCATCAATATATTATTTAAAATATTCTATTGGTTCGTTGTGAATTGTATTTATAGTGATATTATTTTATGAAATTGTTAAATAATCTGATATTGTAAAAAGGGCTAAGGCCGTTAAAATTATAAATAAATAAATACAATATTTTTGAAATTTGAATTGATGTATAAAAATAGATAGTGTTTAATTTTAAAAAATTGGTGGATTACTCTAAAAGCTACATGATCTGCTAGTTCCTTATTAATATCCTGATTAAGATAAAGTATGTCGAATGATAAAGAGATTATTAAAAAATATTATTTTTCATGAAAAAATTGTGTTGATCTTACACTTTTCAATAAGTTGTAGCATTATAAAGTTAAAAATGTAAAAAATAAAATCGAGAATTTTCACATAATAATAGCATTTGGTAGCCATTTTCACCGTGAAGACAAAATTAAGTCCGAAATTTTTTTTTTGCATAACAAAGTACATTACATTAGCTTTAATTTGAGATATATATAAAAGTGTCAGACCTTCCGGAACACTTTCAAAATTTAAGTTGAAAAAGTACATTTTTTGTGAAAAAGTTGTCATTTTGAATCCCCCCCTGTAGGCAGATAAAAAGTCAGATTTATAAAAAATATATACCAAATGATAGGTTAAGACATCATGCATCTATAAAAAAAAGAACTATATTGATCCATACATCTTTCAAAAAGTTATAGCATTATAAAGGTAAAAATTAAAAAAATAAAATCGAGAATTTTCACACAAAAATAGTATTCGATAGCCATTTTCACTGTGAAAACAAAATAAAGTCTAACATTTTTTACATAAGCTTTAATTTAAGATATATATAAGTATCAGTATTTCCAGAACACTTTCAAAAATTAAGTTGAAAAAGTTCTACTATCTTTATGCATTTTTATGTTTTGAACTCCCCCTGTATTAAGGTAAATGGTCCGATTAAAAAAAAAGTGTGACGAATTAAAGGGAAATATAAATATTATTTCTCATAAAAAAATTGTATTGATCCATAAATTTTTCAAAGATTTATAGTGTTATAAAGTTAAAAATGCAAAATATAAAATCGAGAATATTAACACAAAAGTAGCATACGGTAGCCATTTTCACCATGAAGACAAAATAAAGTCGGGAACGAGGGAAATTTTTAAAATTTTTGAGGGTAATGTCTTCGACTAGATATAATTTGTGATCTTTTGACGTATCATTGAAAGAAATTGATTCGGTAAGAGCTGAGAAAAAGTGGTAACAGGCACAAAAAAAAACACATCATAGTAAAATTAATACCTTCTCAGATTCGCATCAAAGCTAAAATTGTCGCATTATTAATGCAGGCCAATAGGAACTGTTTTTAAAGTAAGGGGTGAGGTTGCACATCCTGACCCTCTCCAAATGACGCACCTGAGTGGAACCCCAGCTAGGCGAAGCTTAATAACAATATATTAAGGTTGGATATAAAGTAAATTTTTTTATCGGATGGAATTTACTTAAATAGTCAGCAAAATATTTAATTGTTCATTTTTAATGTTGTATTATTCTCCTCATGTAAAAATTAAATGTTTTTTATATTATATGACTTTAAGCTAGTAACAGGTCTTTAGGCCCCAATCAAACACAACTTCTGCCTATGCCACTGCTTAATATATAGTATGATTTAATAAAAGTTTATGTATAAACTAAGTTAGTGGTGTGAGTATGACTATTTATATCCTTTGTTCTGTTCCTTCCATACAGATAAAGATTAATAAAAGTTAAGTACTAATTTAAAAGTTGATATTGATCCGTCATTTTCTTATCGTATATTGCGATTAAAAAAAAGAAAATCGATATCCTTTATAAGATATAAAGGATGATGCTAATAAGTAATTAATAACTGACAAATAAAGAAATATACACGTATGTTAAAAAAAATATAGTTTTCAATTTTATATTTATTGAATGATTTATGATAAATGTATCACGTGTATACATTTTACTTCTTAGGGATATTTGTTAAAATTTTATTATTAAAACTTAATTTATTACAATATAATACTAAATTATTTATTTACATAAACAAATAAAATTAAAAAAAATTTGTTTATTCAATAAAATTAGAATGAGTGTTAATTTTTACTTGAAAGACCAAATCGTAGAGATTCAATTGTATTATTAAAATTAATTCAATATTAATTAGTAAAAAGTTGTGATTGAATATGAGTCTACATTTTGTAAAATTATGTTCTTTTTGTTTTATATTGCTCACACTTTTAAGAGTTATGAATGCAAATGATGCAAAATCGAATCTTAAAATAATACGTGAACAAATAAAAAATAAAGGTAGGTGTTAGATACACATTAATGTGAGGTGATGCGATACATTTAATTTAATATGAAAACACGGTAAGTGAGGGAGAGCAGGTCAGTCGATCACATCATACACGTTCGTGTTTGTCACAACGGGTATGCCGCTGACACAACGCAATTTGTTTTTTATCTTTTTTTGTTCTGTAGCCTTCTAGTATTCCGGAGATTCCGCGTTTTTTATATAATATACGCCGCGACCTTCAATGTTTTTTCCCACTAAAAAACCACCACCTTCGTAACGGTACGGCGGCGCTTCTGTTTAGACCGGTCCCTGTGTGTGTGGCAGTGGTCCTGAAGAATTCATTCGCGCTCAATTAGTCGGCCGTTTCGGTAATATCGTCGCAAGGTTTCTTTTGGGTCGAGTATTGCCTTGTCGCCACATTGTTCAATTTGAGCTGCTCAACGGCTTGTTATATGTCACGGTGTTTTTTTGTTGCCTTCCCTGCATCTGATGTGTTCCAATGTTCATCATCTTCAAACGGCAGTGGGTAATTACTAAGAATTTTTTTTATTGTTTATTTTAACGGATACAGTCCACATAATATATGTATTAGTTATAAGAAAGGGGATATATATGTTATTTATTTTATTAGTAATTTGTGCTAATTTCATTTTATGATTGGTTCTTGTTGTTTATTATTATTTTTCTATCATAACGGAAATATCAGATTGTGATTATATATATATATGTTGTTTTTCTTTCTATCTATAGTATATTGTAAGGCTCAATTTCCACAATTTTATATTTTCCTTTCCTTCCGCTAAGGCATGCCCAAAAATACGTATGGTCAATCGTATTTATTAAACAAACAAAAGGGTTACAAATCGCAAATTGCCGATACTAAAGAAAATATAGCCGGCATTGCACAGTAGGTTAATCTTTAAAATTAATTTAATAATATGTTCTCCGATATTTTATCTCTTCATATATAATTATATTTTATTTTAACATGTTTAAATATATTTTAATATATATTTTGTTCAGTAAGTAAAGAAACGGGTTTCTATCGTTCTCATTGTGTGTAACAGTTAAACTGTTTCCTTATTTACTGAACACTTTGTGTATTCAGGCACATAGACAAGGGTGGGCCTGGCCCCCCTTAGATTTAATGTGGCCCAGGGCCGGCCCCCCCAAATTTAAAATTCAATTATTTTTATGAATTTAAAAAACGTGCTAGGCCTTATATACATTGAAATTATTATTAATTTGTGATTACTTTTGAGTAATACAGTTATTATCATGGCTGTATTTTCATTTTTATATTCATAGAAAACGTTATTTGAAAAAGATAACGTTCTAGACGTTGGAATAGCAATTACTCCAAACGTGGTTGTAGGTAAATTTTTTTAACTCTGGTCCAACAAATGATAACAAACTACGAAGTATCTGCATTGATTAGAATCTAGTTGATTACAAAATTCAATAGAGTATACTCTATGAAAATTTTTTTGATAAATCTTATCTTTAATTTGTTTCTTTTAGCTTCGATGCGAAGCTGAGAAGGTATTGGTTTTACTAAGATGTGTTTTTTTTTTTTGTGTCTGTTACCACTTTTTCTCAGCTCTCACTGAATCAATTTCTTTCAATGATACGTCAAAAGATCACAAATCGTATCTAGTCGAAGACATTACCCTCAAAAATTGAAAAATTTTTCCTCGTTCCCCGTAAATGGGGGAAACCTCCAAAAAAATTACAAATTTAAAAATCGCTAATTTTCGAAATTTTTAAAATTTTTTTTACTTAAAATTGCCATAACTTTTTTATATAGATGCATTATATCGTTATTTTTCATTTGATATATTTATTTTATAAATCTGACCCTTTACCTGCCAACGGGGGGGATTTAAAATGACAACTTTTTCACAAAAAATTAACTTTTTCCACTTAAATTTTTAAAATGTTCCGGAAAGTCTGACACTTTTATATATATCTTAAATTAAAGCTAATGTAATATACTTTAATTTGAAAAAAAGAAATTGACCTCTGGACATGTCTTTGTGGTGAAAATGGCTACCGACTTCTATTTTCGTGTGAAAATTCTTGATTTTTTTTTTTTTTTATTATTAATGATAAGGCTTCAACAGCTTAGGNTTTTTTTTTTATTAATGATAAGGCTTCAACAGCTTAGGTTATTAGCCTGCAGAGAGTTATTACAATGTAAAGTTATGAATATTTACAACTTATTGTTTAAATGTATAAGATAAAAAAATTTGTATATAGCTTCTGTGTTTTCTTCACTGAGAGCAAGTTGGAGAGAAGACGAATCTTTGAATATTTTCCGAGCTGCAGCGTATTTTGGGCATCTAGTGACAATGTGGTCGATCGACAGGTCCTCGTTGCATGCGTCACATAGTGGAGCAGGATCCTTGGTGATGAGGAATGAGTGGGTGAGATGAGTGTGGCCTATTCTAGCCCGGGTTATAATGACCTCGTCCCTTCTTTTGAGGTTACAGGGAAAAATCCATTTTTTTATGGAGGGCTTGATGTTTCTCAGTTTATTTGATAGCGGGACTCTGTTCCATTTAGTTTGCCATGTGTCAGAGATTTTGGTGTTAATGATGTCCAGCAATTCTGAGGATGTAGTTAGGTTTATTTCTAAGGCATTTTGAGGAAGTGTGGCTTCATTTGCAGATTTATCTGCTCTTTCATTGCCAGAAATTTCGACGTGAGAGGGGACCCACATGAAAGAGAAAGTTTTGTTAGAGGTAGATATCTGTTTTTGGATGTGTTGTACTAGTTCATTCTTGGGGTATGGATTTGAGATAGATATTAAAGCACTCAAAGAGTCGCTTATGATGGTGAAAGAATCTGAATTTAAGGAGGAGGCGATTTTCAGAGCTTCAAAGATGGCATAAGCTTCAGCTGTGTATATATTGGTGCTAGGAGGAAGTGAGAATTTATGATTTTCATGACCTATGATTGTTGCAAAACCCACTCCATTAGAGTTTTTGGATGCATCAGTGTATATGTGTGTACTGCTGGAGTATTGTTGGGACATTATTTCCGAGAAAAGATTGCGGATGATAGTGCTGTTAGTAGAGTGTTTGCAGTAGTTGGTAAGTTGAGTGTTGATATCCGGAGACCAGAGCCAAGGGGGCGACGGGAGTTGTACTTTGCTCAATGTTTGAGTTTGGAGGTCGAGATTTTCACTGGTAATTTTGAAATATTCAAAAATTGTATTCCTGTAGTTGGAAGAGTTGTGGGGGAGAGGATTATGGAGTATCTTACTGGCTATATGATTGGGCATACTTTTGATTCTTGATATGAATTTTAGTATCTGAGTATGACGTCTAAGTTCAAGAGGCAGTTCACCAGCATTACACAAGATACTATCTACCGGGCTAGTCCTGAAAGCACCAGTTGCCAGACGTATACCTTGGTTGTGTATAGGATTAATGGTGTCGAGAGTATTACTTTTTGCAGAACTGTAGATTATAGCACCATAATCGAGTACCGAGAGAATAAGAGACTTGTAGATCCTGAGAAGACTTTTTGTCTCAGATCCCCATGTATTGTTACCGATTGTTTTTATAATTTTCATTTTAGATAAACAGTCTGCTTTGAGTTTTGTCAAGTGAGGGCGCCAGCTTAGTTTGTCATCGAACGTGAGACCCAGAATTCGAATATTGCTGGTAAATGTCAGAGGGGTATTCATGAAAGTGATAAGAGGTAGAGGGTCTTTTTTCCTTTTATTGAAGATGATACACTGTGTTTTAGATGGAGAGAACGAAAAACCTGATTCTGTTGACCATTTGGTGAGGGCGTTCAGTGACAGTTGAAGGAAATGAGAGGTTGTTTCGATTTGAGACCCACTGCAGTAAATATTGCAATCGTCGGCGAAAAGAATGTATTTCACGGGCTTTGGGAGGTTTTTACAGATGTCATTTATGGCAACTAAGAAAAGAGTCACGCTGAGTGCAGACCCTTGAGGTAGTCCATTAACGATGTCATGAGAGGAAGATAGGTGGTTATTGATTTTTACACAAAACTTACGATTGTCTAGAAAATTTTTTATGAATTCTAGGAGGTTTCCATTGAGGTCCCAACTGTGAAGAATTGATATTACTCTATNTGTTTGTTATGTTAACAACTTTTCAAAACAGTGGCGTATTTAGGAGTAGACCGTGACCTAGGGTGTCATTTTTTCCAATTAAGAACTAAAATCTTATTAAATTTATTATTTATTTATATGTAACATAATTTATAAATTATATCAATTAATCTTAAAATGAATAAATAAAATAAAATATATGTAACACTTTATTTTCGAAAATTTAAGTATTGTTGTTTTAAAGTGTATTAATCATTTTTAATTTAACTTGTATGCAATTGTAAATACATTTTTGTTAGAATTTGTGTAATTAAATTATTTATATAGTTTTAGCGAATTACTTAGAATAAATTCACATCACATAAATTAAATTAGCAAATTATAAATGTATGTATTAGTAATAAATTATTGTTATTAAAAAGTATTATATTAATTAAAAATAAATATTAAAATATTAAAAATCAAGCTGTATGAATTTAATTTTCAAAATATTTATTTATGTTATTACAATAGATTGCAAACAATCGTAAAACATATATGTTCATCGAACAATACCTAAAAGGCCGTATACCTAATGGAACAATAGAATCCGTTTGACGAACGTGACCGTTCGAGGAACGTGTCCGTTCGTTGACCGTATTTTGACGAACATGAACGTTCGAGGAACGTGTCCGTTCGTTGGACGTATTTTGAGGAACGTGTCCGTTCAACGAACGTATACGTTCGACGAACGGACGATTCAAAAATAGACCAGCAGATCATGTAGCTTTTGGAATAATCCACCAATTTTTTAAAAATAAACACAAATTTTGAACTTGTAAGATTCATAGAATAGGATACTGTCTAAGGAGGAGTGGAGGGACCCCCCCACAAGCTTTTCATGGAAAACAAATTATGGAAAATGATACAAGGGCCCAAAATTGTTGGCCCCTCCAATAAACATTTTCTGGTTACGTGCCTGTGTGTATTCATGTATATGTTTGACAGCCTTTTGCTCTAGGCTGGCGCTCGCCCGTGTCTCTCTCGATATCAGCCGTCCAGCTATTAATATGACAATCGGTTGTCTCCCCGCCCTTGACACCGAGATAAGGCCGCCGCCGAATATGGATTACTGATATTGCGTTCTGTTCGGTATCCGACGTACACCTCATCTGGTGTGTGTGTTTTTTCTTGTCTGTGCTGTTTTTACGACGGACACGGTAATTGGTTTTTCGCTGTGCACGAGATTTATTCTGTTCGTTTTAACGCGGATTGTGGAACCAGTCTTTACGGTTTTTGTGCGGAACGGTACCCATAAGCATAAGAATATAGAGATATATATGCGTATATAAAGATATACCTTAATCTGAAAGTGGAATCTACCCACATAAACTTAACTCTTTTATTTTTTTTGTTGTATGGTGTTCGTCAGTTTACCTAAACGACGCATTATGTTTAATAAAAGTATTAAAACAGTGTTATTATTATTTTAATTATATTTAAAGATGATTTTTTACTGTAAACTATAAATGGGTTAAATTTACGTAAATTTCAATGAAATAATATATTGAAATCTTGAAAAAAAAACAATACAGATTATTTTTAATTCTGTAAACATAATTAAAATTATTTTTATGCCATTATTTTATCATAATAAATATAAAATATACGAATGATAAAAATTTAAAGTCTTTTTAAATATTATTATTGATGTGAATTAATTTATATTTATAAAAAAAATGTATAGTTTTCTAATGTATTAAACATAAATAATCAACTTTTAAAATTAAAATCAAAATAACATTTATTTTGAATTTTATACATTTAATGTATAAATGTAATAAATATTATATGTATATATATTATAATGTCTTGAGTGGCGTAATTAGGGTTTCGTTTTGAGGGGATATACATAAAAAAGTTTTCAAATTGCACTCTAAACGAAAAAAAATATACCTTTGCTACACAATTATTTTTATGGTGAGATAGGACACCTGTACCGCCCATGATTATGCCAATGTGAACATTTTAAATAGTAAAATTATAGTAAGTAAAAATATTAGTAATTTTGTACACTTGTTAAATTTTTATAAAACTTTTTATTTTTTAACTTCTATAAAATGTAATGAGTGAATTTAAGTTTCTGTAATCAAATTTATTTATGTTTTTTTTTATCAAACAGTTTTCAGGGATGTTTTTTTTTTATCAAACAAGTGATCGTTTGAGACAAGTTTTGATGCGCAAAAAAAATTACTTGGACGCTCTTTTAATACAAACTAATTAAAACATCATCAATACGTAGTTAACGAAAAAATCTACTATTTTGTATTTGGCGTACCTCTAATACAAATAACTTTGGTAAAAAAAGAGTACTGTAAAATTTGTATAAATTAAATTATAATATAATATCCATTTAATATTATGAAAACATCTGCAATCAATTCTATAATGTTATTTAAATGATAATAATATATAATAATGATAATTAATATTTTGCACATTTTAATTTATACGAAAATCGAGTTTCAAAAGTATTAAATATATTTTAACGTTGTTTAATTACTTCGTCATACTAAGTTTTACTTAATTAATAACAATCTCTGGTTATTTTTCAATGATTATTATTTATTAGTTTTTTGCTATTCCAGAACTAGTTCCATGTTCAAACTGTCCAAAGGAACCGGCTATAGCCTTTTGCAATGTTTGTGGTAATACGTTTTGTGAAAAATGTCAGGATAATGATGAGAATCTTCAAAAGAGATGGTGTATATGTCCTGAAAAACGTAAGTTTTTCAAGTTAAACTTAACAGTTTTTATTTATTTGTTATAAATTTTATTCAAAAGAAAATTTTATTATGTTCTACTAAATCGTTATTTTCATTTTTACAGAGAGTGAAAACCCTCTTTTTCAACGTGAATAACTTTTTTATGCAATTATCATTTTCATAAATAAAATAAACAATAAAAACATTATTTTTATTTACAGGTCAAAATTCAACACCAAATATAGCTAAACATGAAATTTCTACAATTGACAATTTGTATAATTTTTTATTTGGAGGATTGTGAAGCGGGATTATTCTTGATAATGAATCGAACGCTCACTTAAATTAATTTGTTTGATATTTTTTAATTTGTTTGATTAATGTAATAAATATTAAATTTAATAAGAATAAATAAAGTTTACAAAATCGTGAGAGCTGAGTTATATAATTTCTTTAAAAGTATTTAGAAACTAAATTAATAATAATAATAAAAAAAAAAAATGTTTAATAAAATGTACTTTGACAGTATTCTGGTGTAGTATAATTATTAACACATGTACTAAATATCACATATATATGAATAAAGCCAAAAATCATCTAAGGAATGTTTCCCTTTTAGGGTAATAAAAATAACTATTTATCAACACATGTTTCAAACCAGTCCCCTACAATTCATTAACTACGCCCACGGCAGGGTTTCTATCACAATTAACCAATCACAAATAATTATGCAACATCTTAGGAATTTCAATAGAGATCGCTGACTTACTTCATCCGGCGTATAAAAAGCCATTTTTTCTGGTAAAAAGGGACTTCTATGGTTTTCTTTGGACTTCTTTTGACGATATTCTGCGGCTGCGACTACGACGACTACCCTCTAAATATTCTCTTACATGGAATCTGCGTCAGTATAAGTAATTATTTTGTCCCTGTGACTTAGTTTTTTTTTTATATGTATCATCCTAAGTGGTGAACATTATCTTAGATGATTTATTAATATTTTACACAGGAACAAGTTTTTATTTATTTTTATTATCATCTAATGTTGTCACGACAAATAGACATTATCTCTATTTTTATATAAAGGTTTTAAATATTATTGTGCCCTTCATTTCTCGACAGCCTCAAATGTGCTGAAAAGAGTGAAGAAGCGTAGTTTTATTTATTTAGACATAGTTTGTAATATATAAGAATTTTAAATATTATTGTGCCCTTCATTTCTGGACAGCCTCAAATGTGCCGAAAAGAGTGAAGAAGCGTAATTTTATTTATACAGGCATAATAGCCTTATACATTATCGCATATTCATAATAAAGCTTATTTGTGATTAGAATTAATTAGTTTTAGTAGTTGTACTTTATGCCTGTGTACCCGCCAGCCCTAAGGGACTATGCCAATTACCTTTCGGTAACGTGTAGGCAGTTGAGGTACAGAGTAGTACTAAACTTATAAAAATAGTATTTTTGAAGTGCGTTATATCCGTCGACAAGCCAGTTCTAGAGCTAGTAGTCCGGATAAAGTTCATCATAAAATATATAGTCCGTAAGATAGGAAACTACATCTTGGAAATATTCTCTGCGTGTGTACCCGCTAGCCATAAAGGACTATACCAATTACCTTTCGGTAACGTGTAGGCAGTTGACGTAAAGGATAGTAAAAGGTGTATTGAAATAATATTTAAAATATATTAGTGAAGTAACTGTGTCCGCGCCAGCCAAGGCTTTACGCTGAGAAACGCTGGGCCACCACAGTCTTGTTAATTATATTTTGAATATAGATAGATATATTCTTATAATTATATTTTGACTAGTTCAGAGTAAATTTTAAGAATATCGATATCGACTGTAGGGAATTCATCGAAAATATTATTAGTAAAAATACAGTATAACATAAAAGGAATTTAAAGAAAATAAAAAAAAAAAGGGTGACAAATTATAATAGACGCAGGTCCCATTATAGAGAACCCCTTTTTCTAAGTCTAATATACACAGAGAGACTAATTAATCGAAATAGACGCAAGACAGTATAAATGACTGTTGACACTGAAGGAAGAAATCAACATAAAACCAACTCAGTCAATTACTAAAGGAAATAAAGGTAAGTGCGAATATTTATTTGCTGCATGCCTTACTTCTAAAAAAAATCACGTAATAAACAAGAATAGGAATAAATGAGGTAGGGATATTTATTATTTAATAAATAAATATAGTTAAACTCCGAGATACGACTTTATTCTTACCATCTTTACCTCCCCTCATTTTCTTTCAACTCACTCATTCTTTTGGCCGCTTTCTTTTTTTTTGTTTATTACACTAGAAAGAAGTTTTATACAAGAAAATTTTTGTAAAAATTGTAAATAAATATATAAAATGGAGATGTATGGAAATTTACTCTATAATCCACTCATGTTTTCGGGCAGTAAAAATAAGAGAATAGATGTATTTTTAAAATCATACAATAGGGTAGCAGAAATCAATGGTTGGTCAGAAAAAGATAAATCGCTTTATTTAGTAGCTTTTTTGCAGGATGCAGCTCTTACTTTTTATAATAATATTAATTCAGAAAATTTGTCATGGATGGAATTAGAAAAAAAATGTATGAACGAATTTGAAACACATGGTTTTATTTTACGTTCAATATTAGAAAATAAAAGATAGACAGATGATGTGCGAATAGTAGTTTTTGTTTATGATGTTATAGATTTATGTAAAAGAATTGATAATAATATGTTAGAAGAAGAAATATTACGAAATGTGATGAAGGCTTAAAAACATGTATTATTAGATATATTAGTATGTTTCAAAATCGTAATTTAGATGAGTTAAAAAGTTTGCTCTTATGTGCAAAGAAATTTCGAAACCCGTTAATTTAAAGTTAAACAAAAATTCTGAAAAAAAACAATTTATGTTTGTATACAGCAAACAAATGTAATAATTATGTCTTAAAAATAAAAAATATCTCTGATACATTAAAATTCCACAGGGTGTTTAATAAGTTGGGAAACACCGATTTTTTGAGCCGCTATTGATTTTTTTAATAATTTTTTTTTTAGAGGCTAATTGAATTAATGTTCAACCCTAATGCATACTTAAGAAATTTAAATGGCAACCATTACTTTTTTTTTAAATTTTCGGTTAGGAAATTTTATTTATAATAAAAATACTTTTAAAATTTTTAAATTGGACAAGTCATTTTTGAGATTTTATTGTTTAAAAGCATCAATTTTGAGTTTGGAAGCACATTTTGCCACAGTAAAAACTAATCAATGTGTAATTCCGAAGACATAATAATCATAAATTGTCTGATTATTGTTGCTTGGTTTATCTTAATGATCGTACTTGAGCATGAATCGATCAATAAATATTGTTAAATTGATATTGTACCTTATCAATGGAATTATTAAATATCAATAAAAATATGATTTACGATTGCATTTTTTTCACGTTTACAAGTGAAAGTATATAGTTGTTGAAAAACATGTGTGTTATCAAATTAAATATTTTAGTCAATAACCAATTGTATGTTGTTATTCGTCAAAATGATTTTAACGCGTCTTTATCATTTTGCGGCATGAAAATTTAAAGGTTCTATGTTAGATATTTTCAAGTTAACTTTCTAATTTTTTTATTATTTATAATTTTCTGTAAAAATTAATCAATTTGAGAAATTATTATTTATAATAACTATTTTCATGTTGTGCTACATTTTAGCTTCGATGCGAAGCTGAGAAGGTATTGGTTTTACTATGATGTGTTTTTTTTTTTTTTTTTTTTTCTGTTACCACTTTTTCTCAGCTCTCACCCAACGGATATCTTTCAACGATACGTCAAAAGATCACAAATTGTATCTAGTCGAAGACATTACCCTTCAAAATTGAAAAAATTTCCCTCGTTCCCCGTAAATGGGGGAAACCTCCAAAAAAATTACAAATTTAAAAATCGCTAATTTTTGAAATTTTTTCAATTTTTTTTACTAAAAACTGCCGTAACTTTTTCAAAAATGAACCTATGAATATAACTTTTTTTTATATAGATGCTTGATGTCTTTATCTATCATTTGGTATATTTTTTTCATAAATTTAACCCTTAACCTGCACACAAGGGGGGATTTAAAATGACAACTTTTTCACAAAAAATTAACTTTTTCAACTTAACTTTTGAAAATGTTCCGGAAGGTCTGACACTTTTATATATATCTTAAATTAAAGCTAATGTAATGTACTTTAATTTGAAAAAAAAAAATTTGACCTCTGGACTTGTCTTCATGGTGAAAACGGCTACCGAATGCTATTTTTGTGTGAAAATTTTCGATTTTATAATTGACATTTTTTACTTTAAAGTGCTATAACTTTTTAAAAAATGTATGGATCAATACAATTTTTTCAATAAAAGTAGTATTTATATACATCATTCATTGGATATACTTTTTTTTTTAATCAGACTATTTCCCTATATATGAGGGTGCTTCAAATATAAAAAATGCATATACAAAGTAGAACTTTTTCAACTTAACTTTTGAAAATATTCCGGAAGGTCTGACACTTTTATATATATCTTAAATTGAAGCTTATGTAATATCCTTTAATTTGAAAAAAAAAAATTTGACCTCTGGACTTGTCTTCGTGGTGAAAGTTGACATCAAAGTTAATAAAAAATTACGATTTTTGTAAAATAATTTTTTTTTATATTTTTAACTTAATAATGCTCTAACTTTTTCAAAAATAAACATGTCAATATAATTTTTTTTTAAATAGATGCTTGATGTCTTTACTTATCATTTGGTATATTTTTTTTGTAAATCTGACACTTAACCTGCCCACAGGGGGGGATTTAAAATGACAACTTTTTCACAAAAAATTTACTTTTTCAACATAACTTTTGAAAATGTTCCGGAAGGTCTGACACTTTTATATATATCTTAAATTAAAGCTAATGTAATATACTTTAATTTGAAAAAAAAAAATTTGACCTCTGGACTTTTCTTCACGGCGAAAATGGCTACCGAATGCTATTTTTGTGTGAAAATTTTCGATTTTATTATTCATATTATATTTAACTTTATAATGCTATAACTTATTGAAAAGTTTATGGATCCACACAATTTTTTTATGAGAAATAATATTTTTTAATAAACCCTTTTTCATTCGACATACTTTATCTTAGTATAATATCTTATATATTAAGGAACCAGCAGATCAAGTAGCTTTTGGAATAAAACACCAATTTTTTTTAAATTAAACACTATCTAAAGATTTGCATCGAAGCGTTTTTTTTTGATAGTGATTGAAATCACTGTCAGATATCATTATACTTGATCCAACTATACCATGTCACAACTCTGCCGCGACCCCCCTGTGCTGGGTTTTTTTTTTATTTGTTTGATGTTGGCAGGATTGCTTCTGGCGATTTTTGATATCTATTATTATTGAGGTTTTGTGTTGTCGACGAATTTAGTTGTTCTTAGTAATTGTGTTTATTGTGTTACCATGGAAAAGTACACTACAAAATAAAAAATTTTGTGTCATTCAAACTTATTATAGAATCGGTGAAAATTTCGCAGCCACCATTCACCGACTACGTAAGATTTTAGGGCATCATAATGCTTCAAAAGAATCAACTGTTCATCGTTTAGTTACAAAATTCGAAGCAAGTGGTTCAGTTGAATACATCAAAAGCCCAGGACGTCCTCGAAGTGGTCGGAGTGAGACAAATGTGGCTTTTGTGCGTGATTCAGTTGAGTTTGGTACCAAGCAATGCTCACTAATTTCCTATGGCCTCAATTGGATCAAATGAACATAGATAACCTTTGGTTCCAATATGATGGTGAAACGTGCCACACTTCAGCAGAAACAATTGCACTCCTTCGTCCGAGATTTCCAGACCGACTAATCTCGTCGCGGGGAGATCAAGTCTCCACTTCGATCATGTGAATTTTTTTTGTGGGGTTACACTGTCACAAGTCTACGAAAACAAACCTAAAAATATGACGGAACTCAAGCGTGAAATTCAACGTGTTTTTGGTCAAATCGATGCAGATATGTGTGATTGAATGATGGTGAATTTCATAGACAGAGTTATTGCGTACAAGACTAGTAGGGGAGGCATATATTCGATATTGTTTTTCATGTTTAAACCTCAAGAACTTCTGAATCGAATAGTATGATTTTTTTTTCCTTTTTTTATGAAAGTAAATTAATTTTATAGCACTTTCAAATACAGCGTTCTTTTTGAAACATCCTTAAGGGTATTTATTATCACTGAAGTTATTATAACAACTGAAGAAAAATTATCAGGTAAGATTTTTAAATCTATAAAAATATTTATATTCTTATTTTATAACCCTCGAATTACAATACGAATCAAAAGTACCTCTCACTTTAATTCACTCAACAATAAACTTTTTTCAATATTTTATTAATTTTTGAGTTACGACAGCTGTATTCAATTTTTGCATAGTTAGAAATTTCTAATTTGCTATTCATAATAGAGTACATATTCAGTTATTGTATTTAATCAGAATATATGAACAGCCGTATGTAAAATTGACGTAAGCACATTGTTTTTATGAAAAAATTGTTGATATAATTTCTTTATTGACACTAAATAGTAAAAAGACGTCTGATTTTAAAATGTAAAGACTGTACATAATTACAACATAGATAATGATTGTCAAATAATATTTTATAATTTATGGCAAATTAGTACACAACTTCTTTTTTCTGCCGTCCAAAGAAACCTATGATTTAATTTATATTATGTAAAATTTTTAGCTATGCGATTCATTTATATAAAATACTATTGTACAAAAATCCCCTATATAATTTATATATATTTTCACTATACTTTTAGTTTATCATCATAAAATAGGATTTTACTTTAGCTCTTAAAATTTAAGTTAATTTTTTATTTTTTAATATTTAATACTGAGTTTAAACATATTAAATTGACAAAAACAAATTTATAAATTAAATGAAAATACTTATTTTTTTATTGCTAGACTGTAAAGATTAACAAAATATTTCAAATAAGTTCTATTTCAATATTTTTGCAAAAAAATTTACCATTATTTTTTATAAAATTTGAACAATATTGTAATAAAAATGTTATTGATACATTATTAAAAAATAAAAACCTAAAATTAAGAATGGCTAAACTTATTTAATTGTTCAACAAAAGGACACTACAATGTTTTGTTATACATTTTAATTAATAATAACGCAATACAGTTATATCTGCCATAGAGGATATTATTTAATTAAAATCTGATAGTGATAAAAAATTAAATGTTTTGATACAAATGTGTTTAAGGAAAGTTTCATTGTTCTAATCTTTATTAGTCTGTAACGTCTCAAATTCGAAGGTGGACCGTTTATAATTTTTTATTTTTTTTACTTATTTATTTTATCGCACGAAAGAACCATTTCCTGACACAGCGATGTCAACCACTCATTAGTTTTGCCACCGACCGCTAGATAAGGCGACAAAAGAGAATAAATATAATTAAAATCGAATTATTTATCGGTATTGATCCCTCCCAAAAGACTGGCCGTTATCGATTTGAAATTGCCGTTAGATCGGTGTTGGCTCTTCTCCATTTTTCAAGAAGTACAAAGAAGCCAAGTGTTCAGTAAGTAAGGCGAAGTTAAAGAGGTATGATGAGTTGTATGATAGGCTAGAAACAAAGGAAGATGAGAAAAAAATCTATGAAAAAGTAAGGGTAAGAAGGAAGGTGAGAAAAAAATCTATGAAAAAGTAAGGGTAAAAAGTAAGACTTGAAAAAGTAAGGGAGAAAAGGACTAAAGATTATCATCATATAAGGCGTATAAATAGTGTTGATAATAGTGTACTCTCGATTGATGATGATGTGAAAAAAAAGTGTAAAGAGTATTTTGAAAAATTACTGAATGAGGAGTATCTAAATTTGACATTAGAGGATTCTCGTGGAATTAGGGACTGGTAGATTTAATTAGTGAGAAAGAGGTATCGGAGGCTGTGGTATCAATGAAAAAGAATAAAACAGCGGGACCAAAATACCATTAATTGCTGTCAGATATAACGTACCCTAGTCCATACCCCGAATTAACTAATTTTTAATTTTCAGTTTTAATGTTTATAATTTTTTATTTTAGAAATAAAATTCAGTTTCATTTGTTATTAATAAAATTTAATGTGATTTTATGAAAACATTTCCTTTAAAAATATGTATTTAAAAAAATTAAGTACTTACAAAATTTACATAAACCTAAATTTATTAAAATAAAATACTTTTTTTTTCTTTATATTTTAGTCAATTGAAATAATTGATGGAATATAACAATTTTTTTAATTTGTTGAAGTTTTAAATCACTAATAATGTATGCAAAACAGCAAATTATCATTAGTAAATTGGTCAAAATTTGCTTTACTTAAACAAGTAGTAAAAGAAGAATCCGAAGAATCAATAAAAAAATTTTTGGTAATTTTTTTTTCTATGGAATCTTTAAACTACAAATTGTGGTTCTTATCGAAGAAAATTAAATTGGGTTATCCCTGAAGCGGCAAAAAAACAATAATTTAATTACATGTTATTGTAGTTTTTTTGAATCAAACAATATTTTCCTTTACGAAAATTAAAATTTTTAACAGTTTCCAAGAAAATAAATGTCTTATTCTCAATAAATCACTCTGTTTATGCTTAGTCAACTTACAAAATATAAATGATTATATTAAAGTATTAATAATTTTCAAAACACTAGTTCAAATGTAAAGCTGTAAAACAGTTATTGAATATAATATTGAAGGAAGTAGATAGAAGATGACCAAAAAAGAGATGGAGGGATGTAATTAAATGCGATATGAGGACCACTGATGTGAGCGTAGATGATGTGGGAGATCGTGCCAAGTAGAAGTTTAGAATAAGAGTGGCTGACATCAAATAGTTGAGATTAAGACGAGGAAAAAGAAGAAGAAGACTTGTTCAAATGTGTAAAGAATTTATAAAGGATAGACATTATATTTCTAGTGGAAAACACCTTATTTGAAAGTTAATCATTGATATAGGCTATATAAGTTGTAAGATGTAAAATTTTAATAATGTCACAAAACACTTTTTATTTTTCTAGTTGATAAGATGTAAAGAAATAATATTCTATTGTGGATAAATGATACTGTTCTATAAAAGTCAATACTATTGTTTGAAGTTTACGATAACCTTTAGTTAAACTTTTACAATGAAAATCTGCAGTGTTAGTTGATTTATTTTAAGACAAAAAATATAATATATTAATTCAGCTAAAATAAAAATTAAAGGGGCTTTAGATGTTTTATTATTATTATTATTTTCATTCGTTTTTTAGTTTTAATTATTCATTGAATTATTTTCAATAGTGTACGCGTTAGGAAAAAAGGTTGGGAGAAGTAAAAATATTCAAATAAAACCTTTTTGAGCAGAGTAAAACATTGTTTAAGGATCTAATGCATTTAATGCATTGTTCGTTTGTTTGCTAATCATTATTGCCAAAAAAATCAGATGGCAATGGGTCGACTGTAATATTGTTATTGTTATACTAAAGATAAGTATTAGTGAAATTAATTTGTTTGGTTTATTTTTGTTATTGCAGTGATGGACTTTTCGAGAAAATTAATGTTACTTTTTGTTCATTGTTCACAAGAATATTAATAATTTTGAAAATGATAATGGTGATTAAAATAATCTATCATTATGATAATATCAGGACAAGATATCAATACTTTGATCAATTATTAGACTTCAATGGTTCTTTTAAATATTTTAATATAAAATCATAATTTATCTTTTAAACTAAGGAAATAAAAATCGCTTTAATAATATATGGAATAGTAATAATATAATATTAATTAATCAATTTCAATTAGTTGATCTTAAGGCAGCTATAACATGATAAGTCATGCTAAATATGCTAGAATTAATATTATTCATTGTTGAATAACATTATTATGAATAATTATGTAAAAATTATTTACGCTAACCTATTTATACAAATTTTTCATAAACAACAAACAAAAATTACTATTTCAATAAAGAAGATAGCGGATAGTTGTGCTTTCTTTATATAATTGATATCATCACTATTATATTATTATATTTAATCTCAAATAAATAATGATAATAATACGACGATTTTATCAAATATAATGATTAATGGGTACTTTTAAGAAAATATGTTGATTGGTGACTTGTTTTGAATATTCTTGTTTTCAACTTTGTTCTTTTTAGTATGTCAAAAGTCGACAAATATTTTTCTTAAATCCATTATAGATTTTCAAAAATATTTTCAAAATAATAATATATTAGATACATGTTTACTTTATTACTATTATGTTATTTTATTTTATATGTTATTTACTGGACTAATGACCTGATATTTTAGTATTTAAACAGTTTCTCATGATCTCTAAGACAAAAAAGTTATTAACAAAACTATAGAGCTAAACAAAAATTATTTAAAAAAAAAAGAAAATATGCTACCATCAAATTCAATTATAATGGTTCTTTTATTTGTAATTGTTGTTTTTATAATCAACCCAAGTTGTTCGAAAAGTTCATACAAGATAGTTGGTATGTATAAAAAATTTCATGTTTATCATAAAAATTAAATATCCATAATAATATAGTTATGTAATATATGAGTTTTAATATATTTAGTATTTTAGTTTTTTAAATAATATTTTATAAGTAGGGTTTTCTATATTTTACTTTAGAATTAATTGCAATAGCTGTATATTTTTTTATTTTATCTTAAATAAAATGATTATAGTTAAAATAAAACTTTTAGTCCTAAAATTGTTTATTCATTTATTATTATGCATTTTTATTATTATTTTAATATATTTCATAATTGTGTTACTGTATAATTTTAATATGATACATTTTTTTTTAATCGAATATATCAAAAGTTTGATAATAAGTTATAACCATGTTCAATTATATGAACATTATTGTAACTTACACAGGAAATTTTTTTGTCTTTGTAATTTTTATTTATATATTATACATGTTGTAGGATATAAAAACAGTGAATATGAACATACAGAAAAAGGTGGTAATTTTATTATTATTTTTTTAAATAAAAAACATTCTTTAAGTATGCTTATTCTCAAAATGAAAATGGTTGTTTTTAAAATTACACAAATATATAAAAAGAAATCGAAATTTCAATAGATCTTACATATAAATATATTTTTCAAAGATATTATTTTTATTTTATCCATTCAGAAATAAAAAAATAATAGACTACGTATTATTTATGTAAATATATTATTACTAAAGTAAAATTGAAATCACAAGTCTTGATAAATTAAAAAACGGTAGCACAGTTTGGACACGGCATAATACGAGACCAGTTAAGATGATATCTAACAGTGATTAAAATCACGAACATAAGAAAAAACGCAATAATGCAAATCTGTTAACAGTGTTTAATGTTAAGACATCAGTGGATTATTCCAACAGTAAAAAAACTTCTATTTCCTTATTAATATTCTGATTAGAAGTTTTATGATTCATAAGTATAATATTTATTGTAACAATTGTAATAAACAAAAAGAAGACAAGAGGGTAGGTATGTAGTCTTGTAATAAATAAAATGGCTATAATAAGGTGGCGAAGGAATGTTGTTAAATGTGTTTGGGGTTCGGGGTGTGAAAGAGAAGAAATGTAACACAGGTGGCCAATAAGGAAATAATAATCGTAGCGGGCGTAGTGTAAAAAAGATGGGCACCAATGGAGAGTAAAAGTGGCTATAGATACCCGGCATAGACTACAATAAAATGAAATAGAAAGGGATCTCGGGGTATGTATGCTTGTGTAAAGACGTCTAATGTATGAATAAGATGAAATTACAAAGAAGGGTCACTACCTAGCTCCTGCACAGAAACGCGTACATTAATTTCCGGCGAGTCACAAGTATCGTGTTTTTTATAAAAATATTTTAGTTTATTCTCAATGACTTATCCTATTCTAATTGTTTATTACTAAAAAATTCTTCAGTAAAGGATCTATTATAGACTTATTATGTAAACAAATGTTCCACTTACCTCTGACTATCCTGATATTCTCTTGAGATGAACGATGTTGTTGATGTAACAATTATCGATGTATACGTTTACGCATTAATGTACGCAGTTATATTTATACGGTTTATATTATTATTAACTCGCGTGTTTAACTATAACTACTTTATATAACGTGTATAACTACTTTTCTAANATAACTACTTTATATAACGTGTATAACTACTTTTCTAATACAATTCTATATTAAATCTACCCAAGGTGAAGTCTAAGTTTATTATAACTCTGTCTTTTGTAAAAACCTTTTGTATATTTATGTAGTATAGTTCTTGACCTTGTNTATATATATGTAGTATAGTTCTTAACCTTGTATATGGTGTTTTACCTTAATATATCTATTATTTAATAATTTATAAAGCAAATAAATAACTTCTAAGCAACATAACTGTCCTGTGCAACAAACTATTTCCAAGTGGCCTACGTCTTTTCAGTCGTCCAAATAGTGATCTAGGGTAGATGCGAGCTCAATTTCAGTTCTTTGCACAATAGATTATACTAGTGTCCTACACTACGATTGCCGGCACTATGGCATAGATCAGACTAGCTGGTCGATAAGTGGAGAGACACTTTTAGTTGTTTAGTATGATGTTAGTTATAAATATATATTAGTAAAATATTAGTTTCTAGTATAATATTTCGACTGTGATTTATTTGTATTTCGTAGCTGGGATATACCAACGCGAAATCTCAAATAATATCTTTGTCTTTATGCAAAGAACCTTATGATATGTGGCCTACTTCTTTTCAATCACCTGTAGGACGACCTAGGTTAGATGCGACTGTACTATAGATTTATGCACGATAAGTTATGTTAGTGTCCTACACTCCGATTGCC